TTCTTCTTCTTCTTCTCTTCTTCTTTTCTCTTCTCTTCTCTCTTCTTCTCTCTCTTTCTTCTCTCTTCTCTTTCTTCTTCTTCTTCTCTTTCTTTCTTCTCTCTTCTTCTTCTTCTTTCTTTTTCTCTTCTCTCTTCCTTCTTCCTTCTCTTCTTTCTTTCTTCTTCTTCGTCTTCTTCTTTCTCTTTTTCTCTCTTCTTCTTTCTTTCTTCTCTTCTTTTTCTTTTCTTCTTCTCTCTTCTCCTTCTCTCTTCTTCTTTCTTCTCCTTCTCTTCTTCTTTCTCTTCTTCTTCTTCTTCTCTTCTCTTCTTCTTCCTTCTTCTTCTTCTTCTTCTTCCTCTTCCTTCTCTTCTCCTTCTTTTTCTCTCTCTCTTCTCTCTTCTTCTTCTTCCTCTCTTCTTCTTCTTATCTCTTCTCTCTTCTTCTTCTTCTTTTCTCTTCTTCTCTTCTTCTCCTTCTTTTCTTCTTCTCTTCTTCTTCTTCTTCTTCTCTTTCTTCTTTTTCTCTTCTTCCTTCTCTCCTTTCTTCTTCTTCTTCTTCTTTTCTCTTCTTCTTCTTTCTCTTCTTCTTCTTCTTCTTCTTCTTTCTTTCTTCTCTCTTTCTCTCTCTTCTTCCTCTTTTCTCTCTCTCTTCTTCCTTCTTCTTCTCTTCTTCTTCTCTTTCTCTTTCTCTTCTTCTTTCTTTCTTCTTTTCTCTCTTCTTCTTTCTTCTTCTTTCTTCTCTTCTCTCCTTTCTTCTTCTCTCTTCTTCTTCTCTTCCCCCTTCTTCTCTCTTCTCTCTTTTCTTCTTCTTCTTCTTCTCCTTCTCTTCTTCTTTCTCTCTTCTTCTTCTTCCTTCTCTTTTTTCCTTCTTCTCTCTTCTTCTCTTTCTTCTCTTTCCTTCTTCTCTCTTCTTTCTTCTCTTCTTCTTCTTCTTCTTCTCTTTCTTCTCTCTTCTTCTTCTCTTCTTCTTCTTCTCTTCTTCTTCTTACCTTCTTCTTCTCTGTTCTTCTTCTTCTCTCTCTTCTTCTTTCTTCTCTTCTTCTTCTTCTTCTTTCTTCTTTCTTCTTTTCTCTTCTCTTCTTCTTCTTCTCTTTCTTTCTTCCTTCTTCTTCTTCTTCTTCTCCTTCTTCCTTCTTCTTCTCTCTTCTTCTCTCTTTTCTTCTTCCTCTCTCTTCTTCTTCTCTTCTTCTTCTTCTTCTTTCTTCTTCTTCTCTCTTCTCTTCTTCTTCTCTCTTCTTCTTCTTTCTTCTTCCCTCTCTTTTCTTTCTTCCTTCTCCTCTTTCTTCTTCTTCTTCTTCTTCTTCTCTTTCTTCTTCTCTCTTCTTCTCTTTTCTTCTTCTTCTTCTTCTTCTTCTCTTCTCTCTTCTTCTTCTTTCTTTCCTTCTTCTCTCTTCTTCCTTCTTCTTTCTCTTCTTCTTCTTCTCTCTCCTTCTTCTTCTCTTCTTCTTCTTTCTTCTTCTTCTTCTTCTTCTTCTTTCTTCTCTTTCTTCTTCTTTTCTTCTTTCTCTCTTCTTCTTCTTCTTTCTTCTTCTTCTCTTCTCTTTCTTCTTCTTCTTCTCCTTCTCTCTTTCTTTCTTTCTTTCTCCTTCTTTCTCTTCTTCTTTTTCTTCTCTTCTTCTTCTTCTTTCTTCTTCTTTCTTCTTCTCTCTTCTTTTCTTTCTCTTCTTAGTCGACTCTTACGACATTCTTATTGGGTAGACAGTGGGTTATTGTTTTTCCAACAATGGGGCCCCGGAACCCACACAGGAAGATTGCGATGTCATCAGTATGGAAATCTAAGATCATAAATCTGTTAAGAGGATTCATATTTTGTGCTTTATTACAGATTGATATAATTAATAAATAGTAGTAATGCACCTAAAGAGATACGGCGAAATATGCCAAACAATAAATTGTGCATTGCATTGTTTGTTTCATACCAGAAAACCCTGATTTGAATTTTTAGAAGAAAAAAATCTAAAATAAGAAAGTAATAATGTGTGTTTTGTGGAACAAATAATTTAATTAAAGACAAATACAGACTTGTGATATGTTTGGCTCGATAGGATATAGTTTTTTGGAGACACGCACGCACACGTACCACACACATATCCGTATCTTACCACACACATCTCCGTATCTTACCACACACATCTCCGTATCTTACCACACACATCTCCGTATCTTACCACACACATCTCTGTATCTTACCACAGACATCTCCGTATCTTACCACAAACATCTCCGTATCTTACCACACACATCTCTGTATCTTACCACACACATCTCCCTATCTTATCACACACATCTCTGTATCTTACCACACACATCTCCGTATCTTACCACACACATCTCCGTATCTTACCACACACATCTCCGTATCTTACCACACACATCTCTGTATCTTACCACACACATCTCTGTATCTTACCACACACATTTCTGTATCTTACCACACACATCTCCGTATCTTACCACACACATCTCCGTATCTTACCACACACATCTCTGTATCTTACCACACACATCTCCATATCTTACCACACACATCTCCGTATCTTACCACACACATCTCCGTATCTTACAACACACATCTCCGTATCTTACCACACACATCTCCGTATCTTACCACACACATCTTTGTATCTTACCACACACATCTCTGTATCTTACCACACATATCTCCGTATCTTACCACACACATCTCTGTATCTTACTACACACATCTCCGTATCTTACCCCACACATCTATGTATCTTACCACACACATCTCCGTATCTTACCACTCACATCTCCGTATCTTACCACACACATCTCCGTATCTTACCACACACATCTCCGTATCTTACCACACACATCTCCGTATCTTACCACACACATCTCCGTATCTCACCACACACATCTCTGTATCTTACCACACACGTCTCCGTATCTTACCACACACATCTCTGTATCTTACCCCACACATCTCCGTATCTTACCACACACAACTCCGTATCTTACCACACACATCTCTGTATCTTACCCCACACATCTCCGTATATTACCACACACATCTCCGCATCTTGCAATCGGCATCAGCATATGCGTCATTTCGTGTGCTGACGACACTTCCCCATGCCATGACAAAAAAGTAGTCGAGAATCTTCTCTCAATGTCATCGTCTGTTTCTCTTTCCATACATTTTTCAGTTGGAGCAGTATGTTTCAGGTTTGTCTCTTCCAATCTGAGGCTTAGAGATTAGTGAATGCGTTTAACAATCGTGATCCTTGAGTACTAAGGCTCGATGTCCTCGGGGGGACGGTTAAAAAAAAATATTACTCGTGGTTTTAGACAGTGTTGTCACTTTGGATGTTTTACATCCGGATTTAGATGTTTTTCCTTGCATTTAGATGGCGCTTTTGACGTTTAGATGGTAGATGTTTTTCTAGAAGTTTTTCTTTTGGAGTGAATTTATCAAATTCCCACGCCGATTTAGATGTTTTTAGATATTGTTTGACCCTGTTTTGGATGTATTTGTCAAAGAAAAGTGGCAACACTGGTTTTAGAAAGTCGATGAGAGTCGCGGAAGAAATTGACAGCTCGCCTTATAATATTCCTAAATACATCAATGGTTGTTACAACAGATCTGTAGTTGCACACGACATTAATGCAACTAATCCCATGGTAGTCAACCTTCTTTTTTTGGGGGGCATATTCCTATTTCTATTTTGTAGATGTTCATATGTCATGTGTGTGGGCCACATGTGTGATTGCAAAGGGGCGGACCTCGTGTTTGACATGTCTGGCCTAAGCGACAGACGCCGATTATTCTGTAAAACAAACTCTATTTTCATATTAAAATAATATGCTTGATATATAAAAATGCAACTTCTGTCTGAAAGATGAATGCTTGTCAGGGCCCAATGTAAGACGGGCCAGTGTGCCAAATTTGTAACTCTTTATAAACAGAGTGCGTGCGTTCGTTCGTTAGTTCGTTTGTTCGTTCATGTACTGTCTGATCCCTTAATGAATTTTTAGCCTTTGTTTACTAAGAAAAGAAGAAACAGAATGTCCAGGATTCACTGCTATATGTTAAAATTAGTTATATACAGCATATAATAATTTTTCATATCATCAACATCAACATTCTTATGTGCCGTTATACAGCACATAGGGCTCGCAATCCAGTGCTGGATTTAAGCATAAGCTAAATACGCTACAGCTTAGGGTGTCACAATCTGGAGGGGCCTTACAAATTCCATTTTCCCCACAAGTGCAATTTTCTTTTATTATATTTTAAATGCAGTTTTCTGTTATTATATTTTAAATGCAATATATATATATATATATATATATATATATATATATATATATATATATATATATATATATAATTTATGTGACTTTTTGCAAACACACGTTTTATTTTTTTTATTTCAATAAAGATTTAGTAAAGATCCTTTTTCACGCCCATCGAGCATATGGGAAGAGCACCCTTTATTTTTTACAGGCCAAACAGCACTCCGTGGGTAATGTGCTCAGCATTACGCCTGTCGTCTTTACTTCCCCAAGACATCCAAACTGGTACCCATTTTAGGCTTGGTCGACCATACCACGATAAAAATCCACGCGGCCAGCAGTGGGTTTCGATCACTGTACGCCATAAAAATTAAATGACAGTATTTTTCAACTACCCATATATGTAAAGGCGTGTATATGGTAATGTTTTCTTAGATTAGCTGCGTGTAATTTAAGACGGTAGGGGCCTCATAGCCTAATATAACTTTGCGCCTCATCAAGTCTAAATTCGGTCCTTTCGCATTTTTTGAATTTAATTCTATCTTTTGCGAAAGTTTCAGTATCATGACTGGAATACAATCCATAATCTTTGGCTTCTCTCGGCGTGTTATGGTTTCACTTGGAAGATCTCGCCTTGTAAATCAATTGTTTGCCATTTAAATAAAATTATTTACATAAATAGGTGATTTAACATTCTATTTTCACACATTAAAGCTTGTTCTATACATCAAGTGATAATTATTGATACAAATATATAATTTAACGTTTCGTTTTCATCCAATAGACTTGATCCGGCCAGATTTTTGCAGCAAATATGTCCAAAGTTTGATCTTTATTAAAACTTCCCATGGGTTCCATGTTTTGTGTCATCAGGAAGTTTATGACGGATAAACTGTCTTTGTCGTTTTTACGTAGATACGCCCACTCCATTAGTAAAACCTGCAGGTGTCAGAGAAATAATAATAAAAAGAAGTTAATTAACATGGCAGATCAATAACTTCCCAAACTTCTTTGGCCTACTGCCCCATAAAAAAAAAAACGCTGCGTGGCACAACTCACATCGGCGACCAAGTCGCCCACTGGCTCGCCGGTAGACGACATCGCCGCCTGTCGGGACAGTATTTGGGTCTGTCTCCTTTGATCGCATCAACACTTGAAGAGTTCTTTTCATGGCTGCTGGTGGCGAACACGGCAAAGCCAGTTTATATGGCGCACAATACCTAGTCACAATTATAACCTAAAGCTCCCCATTCGGGGATGCTAGCTGAACGTAACGTTTATTTTTCTCAAAACCAGGAGGAGAAGGAGGCACAACACACCCCCCCCCCCCCTTTTTTTCCCCCCTCATTGTCTTCCCACATTTCTGACCTCAACCTACAGGGGAGGGGGCATAAATCTGTGGCGGTCTCAGCAGGATCTTGGTGCAAAATGAAGAAAGGAAAGCGTGCATAACGTGGAAAAGTGCAAATGGGCCGGAATGTGAGACATATGCATTGGAATGGGTGCAAGAATTAAATATGAGATTTTTCTAGAAAATGTCTTTTAGTTTTTGGGGGTGCATCTAATAAAAAGTAGCATCGTATACCCCGACACATACGGTATATGACATAATTACAAATTAAGAACTAAACAAACTATCTTCTTGTAGACACGTATCGTCTGCTTCACTTGTTACCAAATCAAAGGTGGTGACTTCCCTGTCATGTGATTTTCGCACCTACAGTTGTCTGCCTCGTTAACTGTCATTCATTTTTGATCTATGACACCAAATTAACTTAAGTTAACTTAATTAACTTCGAGAACATCAAGTTTAAAGATTAAATGGTACATGAAACAATGTAGTTGCTTTGAAAAATAATTCCTCATTTTTACACGCATAGAACAGAAATACTACACGTGTGAATTTGGCATACCGTGAAGTGACAAATTACAGCCCTGAAAATGCACTTAGGTGAAACTCACTAAAATAAAAGCTAGGTGAAACCAGACAAAATTGCACTTTGGTGAAACCTGCCACAACTGCACTTAGGTGAAACCTGAAAAAATAGTTGCACTTAGGTGAAACCCGTCAAAATTGCACAGATGAAACCTATCAAAATTGTACTTAGGTGGAACCCATCAAAACTGCATTTAGGTTAAATCCGCCGAAATTGCTCAGAGGTGAAATCCGCCAAAACTGCAGTTAGGTGACTTATACATAGTTGTAGCGAAATGTGCTTCAATGCCATGATGCAACACTGTCAAACATGTTCCGTCTTCGCCCCCAAGAGATGCAGACAGTGATAAGACGGTAATGGACAAACAGAAGAGTGATTAAGTGCACAATTATATTGAAAGGCAGAAAATGTTAGAGATCTATTGCAGCCAAACTTTACTGTGAAGACGGCACCTAACTGTTTTGAGTCTACATACCTCAACGTTTACACGACTGAAGAAATGTTCAGCACACTCAAAGACAGCTGCCTCGGACCCCTCCAGATCAATCTTGAGAAACACTGTTTTCTCTCTCACCAAGGGCACAAGGTTATCCAGACAAATGGCTTCCACCAGTTGACTGCAAAAGAGAAACACGAGTCTTTCATGGTATTTTTCTTTCCTCCTACTCCTCCTACTCTCTTGTTTCTTTTTCTCCTCTTTCTTTCAATATTTCCCGATTCCTCCACACATAGTTTGAGAACCCTTTCACGAAAGACACAAGGCTGTCGAGATAAACAGCACCTTTCAGTTGACTAGACATTAAAAAAAGAGAAGACACATTTTCAGTTGTGCCCACCTACCCCCAGAAAAAAAAAATCTCCATCTCGACATTCAGTACAATATAGTACTTACTTGCTCACATTAAGGTCTTGGGTTCAGATCCTCATTGACTGATCTTGGCTCCCAAGCTGATCCAGGCTAAACCGAGTACCTGGTAAAGACTGTATGATACACCAGTGACGTAAAAAGGGTCCAAACTTGCCTGTGTGTACAGTTACCTTAATATTCGTCCAAGGATATTCAGGCGTGGTTGGTAATGAAAGAGCTAATAGACTGGCTGGTGCTGCAACAATTGAAGATGGTCGGCCCTTGGATCGCGCAGAAATTGTCATTGCCCTTAGAGAGATAGGACGTTCCGAGGATTTTGGAAGCAAAGTGTCCACATCACTGCTAAGAATACGAGAAATGGAAGTAAAGATCCACAAAGCCAAGCATGAGAAGCACACCGAACGCACACGAAGTCTTGTTAACCAACACAGGACTGGCACTATTAACCGCGCAACGCTAATGAATATGTTGAGAGGGGAATCTGAGCGCCTATGGATGTGTCCCGAGTGCTGTGAAGATAATATAACTCATAACTCAACAAGGGTCTTTTCAATCAATCAGTCATTATTTGTATGCACAGAACCGGTATCTCAGGCTCGACGGAAACATCCCCAGTATGTCGTCTTTTACCACATGTTTGATAGATCCAGTGGTTCTATGTTGTTGTTGGTTTTTTTTTTTTTTTTTTCAAATCAAAAGAGGGTCCTGGAATCCAGACATTTCGAAGTGCATCTTCTCGATTTAAGCCTTCAGATTCACACTAATGATATTAAAGTTGTCATAACTATTATAACAACGACTGCTATACCTATTAAGCCATTATCACATTATAATAGTAATAATTATAATTATTGTTATTACTATTATAATTATTACTACTACAATAGCAAGAGGACGGTCACGATAATAAAGATGGACAACACTAAAGACACTTTACGGAGAGTCGCCGTGGTGTAGTGGCTAGACTCTCGCCTGCAGCTTGGAAGGTCGTAGGTTCGGGTCCTGGCTTCCAGGTTTACCCAGCTTTGAGTGGCTACAGGATGCAGTCAAGGGAAGTAAAGGCGGCTGGCGTGATGTTGACCACACCAACTCCTAAAGTGTCGACTGGTCTACAAAATATGATGGACACCTTTCCATCTTTTCAGACGACAGTGTTATATTGTGCTATAAGGAGGCATGGGACTCACAGCCCATGGCGATGGCGAGTGTGACTAGCAAGACCCGGCCACATTAAGAAAAGTCTTCCACAATGATAGCATGGGAGTTCAGGACTGTTGTTGTGTTTAACGTGTTTCTTCTCAGACGCTCAGATCACATTCTTTCTGCAATCATTTCTTCCTTCATTCTTATTCCCTTCCTGATGTGCTCCCTCAACAAAACACAATCCATGGTATTTTGTTCCCCTGAGTCTACCTTAATACATGTATCATTCATGGCCCGCTTGTACACATATTTATACTATAGTAGAGATCGGCCTCGACATCTTTTACCCATCTTTAACTCACAATAGAGGGTATCATTA